TCTAGCCTCAATCTGCAATAGCAGCAGTAGGAAGGTGGCGGCAGGTTATGTAGTCCACTCTTCTACCCAACAAGCAACAATGACTGGTTGTGACCAAGGAGGAAAGGTCTTGGTAAAGGAGGCGCCAAGCGTTATCGCAAGGTTCTTCGTGATAACCGTGCCGTGCCGGGGTCAAACGTATCTCCGGTCTGATCTACGAGAAAATACGAGGTGTGTTGAAGGTGTTCCTGGAAAATGTGATCCGTGATGCTGTCACCTACTCTGAACACGGCAAGCGTAAGTGCCCATGGATGTCGTCTACGCTTTGAAGCAATAGACGTACTTTATACGGTTTCGGAGGTTAAATCATCACCAACTTTGGCAACTAAACGGCTCTTTTCAGGGCCAGAGATGGAATAGAATTTATCTGTGCCTGTTTGTCCATATTCGGAACCACACGCCCCCAACGACCACACAAAATTCTCTCAAGAGTTGTAATCTTGTAACCAAACTTGGAAGCAGGGGTGCAAGTGATTTTGATCGATTATCTTCATCAACTTTCTCTTTAAAAAAAAAAATTACTACAAATTTAGTACGCCTACAATTCAAAAACCAAAAGAGTTAAGATAATAGATGATCGATCAATTAAAAGAACTAAATGCTCTTCATATTTGTTCCGTCCACTCGCGGTCCTACGTCATGCTTCCGTTCGTGCCCCTAGGCACAGACCCTTCTACTTTTTTACAAAACGAAAAGAGTTGTTACACTTTTTTTTAAGGTGTCAGAATACACTCATGGTTCCTATAAATGGATCCTGGAGACAACGGAATGGTCCTCGAAAAATCCGGAACATCCGTAAAAGTGATCAATCCATGAACCTGATTCTAGACCTCCGCGTTTTTTTTTAAACGTTAGGGACTGTGATATAAAAAAAGTATTTGGGGTCGTGACATAAACATGGACCTTAATGGCCATGGGATCATCCTCCGGAAGATCCGGAACATCCGTAAAAGTGGACAATCCACTAAACTGATCCTAGAGCTCCGCGTTTTTTTAACAATAGGAACTGTGATATAAGAATTTAATTTATTTAATTTATTTAAATTGATTTTCTTCATCGGACTTAACGTGTCTAAATGAAGCCTGATGGGGAAAAGCCTAGAAAAGGCGTTAAATCCCATATCCTTTCGAAATACATGAATCACAATAATACAATACAATTACAACGAACATTAATCAAGTCTATAGCATAAAAAAAGTTATCCTCCTATGAATTTGGGTCCTGGACCCCGATAGCCATCGGAACGTGCAGCGGAAGATCCGGAACATCCGTAAAAGTGGTATATCCACGATCCTGATCCTAGAGCTCCGCGTTTTTTTTTACATTAGGAACTGTGATGAAAGAAATAATTCAAGAGCAAATTTTCATTATGTCGTAAGTAACATTTGCACCGATCCGAGAAAAATAAAGTTTTGTTTTGATGACCGAAAAGTTATTCCTATTTCCAATAAAACACATATAATCTCATAGTGATAGCAATGTTTAACATATTTAGCCGGGTTTTAATCATACAAAAGCAAATCGCTAGCTTTCATGCTAAGAAATACTGGTTTTTGAGTCAAAATTTATTATACGTCGTTTGGTGGCCCCTATTGTTACTTAAGTCAAAGTGTATTTACGAGGATATTCGGGAGAATTATCAATTACGTCTCCTTACGTGCAGCCCATTCATCATTTTAGGACCACCGAAATCATCTTAGCAACAAATAGTTCGATTTATTCACTTTAATAATGAGAAAGCGAAACGACGAAAGTACACTTTTCACGGGTTTCTCAGTGCTGTTACTTAAGGCAAACGGCATCTCCATAGAAATCAGGTGACTTAAGTTAAATCGAACACTATTTTGATCGGAAGGTGATTACGTCAAAAAGCAATTCGACTGGTAAATAAATTTAAAAATGAGATGTGATCATATATTCGGACAGTATATAGTGTAATAGCAGGAGCATCGATTGACACTGATAGCTCGACTTTGTTTACCTTTGTTACATTCGACGTAATGAAAATTTGCTCTTAATTAAGGGTTGTGACATAAAAATTAACCTAGATGTCCATGGGACCGTCCTCCGGAAGATCCGGAACATCCGTAAAAGTGGTCAATCCATGAAACTGATCCTAGAGATCCCGCAGTTTTTGAAAAAAAATCACACACAAAGAACTGGGATGATAGAATAAATTTGGGGTCGTGACATAAACATGGCCATGAGACCGTCCTCCGGAAGATCCGGAACATCCGTGAAAGTGGAAAATTAATGAAACTGATCCTAGAGCTGCCGTGGTTTTCTTGAAAACGATAGGAACTGTGATATTATAATGAATTTGGGATCGTGACATAAACACCGACCCAGATGGCCATCGGACCGTCCGGCGGAAGATCCGAAAAATCCGTGAAAGTGGTCAATGTATGGACCTGATCCTAGAGCTCCACGGTTTTTTCGAAAACACGTGGAACTGCAATATTGAAATGAATTTGGGGTCTTAACATAAACATGGACCCGAACGACCATGGGACCGCCCTCCGGAAGATCCGTTAAAGTGGTCCATCCATGATACTGATTCTAGAGCACCGTAGTTTTGTCGGAAACAATATAGGGTTGAGACATCATTGGACCGTCCTCTAGAAGATTCGGATCATCCGTAAAAGTGAATCATCCATGAAACTGTGAAAGTGGTTTTTTTCGAAAACTCTTGGAACTGCGATTAGGGTCGTGACATAAACATGGATTCGGATGGCCATGGGACTGTCCTTCAAAAGATCCGGAACATCCGTAAATTTGTCAATCCGTGAAACTGATCCTAGAGCTCTGCAGTTCTTTTTTGAACACTGTGATATAAGAAACCACTGGACCACATTAACGGATTTTCCGTATAATCTGGAGGACGGTCCTATGGCCATCCAGGTCCATGTGTTTGTCACGACCACAAATTCTGTCTTATATCATAGTTCCTAATGTTTAAAAAAAAAGTGGATCTCTGGGTTCAGTTTCGTGGATTGACCACTTTTACGGATGTTCCGAATCTGCCGGAGAACCTTTCCGGTGTCTCCAGGATCCATATATACACACTAAGATTTTTTTACAGGAGTCAGTATTTTTATACTGGGTTTTTGAATTGCTGAAAAAGTCGGTAAAAATTCAAATGACCGTTATCCGTAAGGAATCAATGAAATCGACCAATTTTATTTTCTATCATTAAATGGGGTTAACAAAACTATGTATGTACAAGTTCAGAACAGATTTTTTCATTAATAAATTTTCCACAGATTTTTAAACTTTTACCGAACAGTTCCGTAATTCAAAAACTCGGTAAAACCGTACTGACTCGATTAGTGTGTAGGAACCATGAAGGTATTCTAACTAATTATGTACATTTGTACCCAGTGTTGGCAAAATCAGAAATCAATTGATATTTTTCCGCTCTCATTGGAACAAAATATCATGCTTGATATTGATTTTAAAAGCTCCTTTGATATTGCGAGACTATTCACAGCGTACAAAAATCAAGCTGAGAGTTGACTCGATACAAAAATGATTCCACTGCACATCGTTTTTTTAGAAAGAGAGAGCATATATAGTTTGCTATCTCTTTTTAATCTTCATCGATGGCAGACGCGAAGGGACTGCTGCAAGTCTTTATGGAAGTTTCGGTTGCATTCGGGTGTAAAGCAAAAATCAGTAAACTCAATCTCACCACAGTTTGGTGAGATTTGCAGTTGGTGAGTTTTGTTAGCTTGATATTCCGAGCTGCGATATCACAGCTTGCAAAATAAACCGCAGTAGTTTGCTTGTAGAATTTTGTCTACAAAATGCAAGCGTGATCTTGGGCGTTGGTGAGATTTGATTTTTCGATGTTTTCCCAACACTGTTTGTGCCCATTAATGTAGATTATAGATCTTAAGCCATTTGAAAGACCCATAAACACACTTTAAAAAAAAAAGTGTAACGACTCTTTTCGCATTTTTACAAAGTAGACGACTCTATTTTCAATGTTTTAGAATCAAAATAATCTACAGCCTGTAGGAATTCTAGAGAAATCTCAATTTTTGAAATTCATCAAGAAATTGCTAAGCTATGCTATTGCAAACTTGCCGTTACACATTTTTCGGAGGCATCTTATTCGGAGTGTTAATTAAACATTACTTTGCCCACCACAAGTTTAAATTATTGACTTCGAGAGGTGGGCTGCCTGCTCAGTGATAGATTGAATAGTATTTAAAACTTATTACAAATTTGTCCTTAAAGAACACAACAAACAATAAAACGACAGTACAGTAAATTAATTGCAGCTTTTCACGATATAAACAAAAAAAAATATTCAAAACAAAATACATAAAAGACAACAACAGTATACGAATACATTGAACAGTGAACGATTTGCTGCCAAAATTATTGTAGTTGTTCTCGTTTGATACTAAAAAGCAAGGGATATTTGTTATATCCGTAGTTGGATTTCAAATCGGTGACGATCTGACAGCGAAATTGACAGGTTTCATGAGTCAAACACATAATTCACAAACTCTTCTTGTAAATTGCAAGTGCCAAATATCATCATAACATCAGGAGATTTCATAATTACGAAAAACATTTTTTATAGCAAACAAATGGCCGCAACCCTGAGCAATTGATTCAAATCATTCAATTAGGAAGTCAATTAAATGAGTTCATACAGCGTCCAAAGAACGTGCAACAAAGATGCAATTTTCTTCTATGTGCCATTTTTGGCAAAATATTCATCTTTATTACATAACAACGCAGTTCATTGATCTTACCTGATCCGCACAGTCCACGTACGAAAAGCTAAAATCTAACCGAAATGGAATGGTTTCCACATAACCGAAAAAAAAGCAATTACCAATCATGTCGTGACGGATTGATCCAATGCCAACGGCGAACGTCAATGCTGCCAGAGAAATGAAAAAAAAACCCCCCGAATCACCAAGTAAATTTCAATTTAGCTTCTTTTTAATTATCGCTCATCTAGGTATATGTACAATTCACATGCCACTTTCTCACTATGTATAAACATATAGTAAACAGAGAAGAAAAAAAGTCAATAACGCGACGAGTTCGCACTATCCGCGCATCCTAAAATATAGTTCACCTTCTCGTTTTCTCGTTAGTCACTAAAATCACCTTAATCAATCATGAATTAACTAAATAAAGTCACTAGCTTCGGTTTTGCGATGGTTGCTGTGGTTGCTGCTGCTGCTGCTGTTGTAGTTGTTGCTGACCGCCAGCGGCCGGCACTTGACTTTCGATGTCCCGCTCGTTGTCAAACCGGACAAAGTTATTCTGACTGGTGGGAAGTGGTCCTTTTGCAAACATCCGATACAGTACCACCAGGCTGACCAGCACGTACACGTTGAGCACTGTTGTTGTTGTTGTTGTTGTTGTCATGGTATAAAAAAAAACAATACGACGACGAAAAGAAGATGAGTTAGTACGATTCAGAGCCAAGCTTGACCTTCCAATGTGCAGAAACTTCCACTCAATAGACCGTTTCACCGGTTGGTTGGTTGGTTAGTTGGTGTGCAAGCAATTAACTCATCAGGGAGGAAGTTTTGTCCCCTTCTTTCGAACGGCAAAGGTCACATCACAGAGGACAGAGGAAAAGTTTCACCACCGGATTTGGTCAAGCGTAAAAACCACGCAACGAAGAACAAGAATACTCACAAATCATGACGACCAACTGCCGCGTTTTGATCGATGCTAGCTCGGACTGCCTTCCGGTGCAGAGGTTCAGTATCTCCTGTACCACCACCACGGCCCCATCGATGATGAACAGCGCCAGGAAGGGGGTGAGGAATGATTTGTTTTCCTGGAAGATGAGAAAAATGTTTATAAATTTTGGGTTCATGAGGGGGGAAATGGGGTCGCAGACTGGGTCGTCACATTCCAGCGTGAGCTCATCTGGGTGGGTAGACTGAATGGACTTGACTTGATCGCATTGTGATGCTAATTATATTCTAATTCGACTCTCATGAGCGTGCTAGTTACTGGGAAAATTGCTACCCTACAGTCACGTAATGTATGTAGATATTTGGATTGAATTCGTTCCATTCATACCAGGAGCTTATTTATTATTTCTAATTATATTAATAAATATTTTGGTTTCACACGAAAGATGCTACTGCAAAAGATAAGTGGGTCAGGATTATTCAAAATACAGTATGAGAACCTGTACTAATACGACATCCGGCATCTTTTTAATGCAACTTTCAGAAATTCGACGTCGTCAACTTAAAAAAAACATAAACAATTCGTTATTGACGATGAGTCAGCAGAATATGAAAAATTGAAAGCTGCTATCTAGTATAAACGAATAAACGTGTACACAACGAAATCCGATTTTTTTTCCCAGTTGTCTCAGGGTGGCCAGATTATTTTTTTCATTATCGGTAGCTTCTCAAAACTTGTATCGGTAGTTATCGGTAGGCCGTCTCAAGAAGGCTTTCCCGAAACTTGAAACCTATTGGTCCCAAGCAAATCGATTAACGTAACCCATTCTAGTCGAAATTTCAGTACTACACTATGTTTGTTTTGATTCGTTATGAAAGTTTGACAGATAAAATGAGGGGTTCGTGGATTTTCCTATGTTTCGAGGGGTGAATTGATTAGCTTGGGACCGAAGATAGTACCAGAGCTGAGCAAAAAAGTTGAGCACGTTTCTTTGGGACCTACTAGTCTTAGAGTTACCTCTATGGTACAACGGTACTGCTTTGTATGTCTGTCAATGGTATTAAACGTGCCGAAATCAATATTTCTAATTATGACTACACGGAAAACAAAACATTGGAAGTTATTGAACATTTGTCAAGATTACTAAAAATCTGTGATTCTCGGTAAGAAAAGTGAAAAATCGGTAGTTTTTAACCTTTCGTCTGTGAATCGGTAGGCATCCCGACAATCGGTAGGACTATCGATAAATCGGTAGGTCTGGCCACCCTGGTTGTCCCATATGTGTTTAAACTGATTGACAGAGAGAAGAAAACAGTTCGCTTAGCTTAGCATATGAGACCTTATAGAGTTCAAAGCTTGACATATGTAGCATAGGATTATCCGTTTCATATAAAGTTTAGACTAATCGAAACTCGAAATACGAAACATTGCTACAGCATTCATGGTTCTAGACGAACTAGAACTAATCCCACTTAAAAAAATACTGACTCGGATTGTAATATTTACACGTGTAAAAATTACTATGTTTAGATACTTTTTAAGTTAAAAGTGCAAATTTCGGAATTCTGCAAAATCGAGAAAAGTAAGATATTGGAACCTGGTGCAGCGTTTTTGGAGCGATGTTCCCGGAGACCAATTTTCCCTGCATACATTCTTTACCAGTAGCAACAGGGACCATGATGAATGGCATTGCATTTGAAGGGGAACAGGGGTCTGCAAAAGTTGTGACCAGCTATGTGTCTATTATATATAGAAAAACACGCAGGAAAGGATGGCCTAAATTTGGTAAAAGTCAAGCTATGCCATTTACGACTACTCGCTCAGTAATTAATCATTTTGTTCGACCATTTTCCACAGAGATGGCGCTGTTCCGCTGGTAGGAAGTGATAGAAATCCCCATATAGAAATTGAGAGAAGTGGGAATAATCTGCTTTCGGTGCATACCCTAATAAAAATTGTATGGTTAATTTGCTTAACGACGTGTTCTGGGTATCATCCAAACCATTTGTGGAATAGTTCAATGATTTGGGTTATCGTTCCTTTATGGTTATTTTTTATTAGGGTATTCAGGTCAACAAAAGTGAACGACAACCTAAAGAAATTAATCAGGGACTTTGTCGTTCAGTTTTTTCCCGAAAATTATTGTTAAACAAGCTACCATTAAATTAAAATGATTTTTCCCCATACAGTTTTACCTGCTTTACTACCAGTTCCCAGAGAGCCAAAAAAATCCAATTTGAGAGAGAAAATTTGCTCTCACGACCTGAATCTCTCAACATGCCATGTATTTTGTTGACACTCGATTTATGATTTCCCTTTCACAGATTACAAAATAGAGTACCTGACACTACAAAACATGTCTGATACCTCTATATATGCATTTGCTTTAACATTTGAAGTCTCTCCACCCATACATAAAAATCGGCGGGAAATTCTGTGAGGGGTGAGCTATTTTGTGTGCAGAATGTGTAAAATATAAGGGACTTCGAATATTAATCTAAATGCATACATAGAGGTACCATACATGCTTTGCACTGCAGTGTCCTCTGTGAACAATTATAGGAAAACAGATTGTGTGTAGTTTCCGATAGATGTCACCGCAAACAACAACAGTGACATCTAATGGAACATGAATGCAGAAGCTTGATAAAATGATTAATTCAATTTGCTATATTAGTGTTTTCCAATCTATGCGTCGCAACTCATCAGTGGTCACGGGCTGTTTTAGATGGACCGTAGGAATTGACAATGTGGTCAGACGTTTTTCAATGTTTCAGTAGGTAATTTTAATACCAGTAACGCTGGTAGATCACTTTTTCGGGGTGTGTTACTGGTATAAGATCTAACACCAGCCCTAGTTAGGATTGGGCGATCTTGGATCTTTGGAAGATCGATCTTTTTCATCCCGATTTCCGATTTTTCGGATCGATTCTTTGTCCACGAAAAAATCGAAAAAAATCGATCTCTTCTTTCGATCTTTTCGATCTTCAAAAAAAAATTGGTTTCAAATTTTTAAGTGTATTTAGATCGAAAAAAGAATTTACTCTCACCCAGAGTGGCCAGATTATTTTTTTTCATTATCGGTAGCTTCTCAAACCTTTTATCGGTAGCTATCGGTAGGCCGTCTTAAGAAGGTTTCCCCCGATACTTAAAAGCTTTGTGAGCGGGGGAAGGATGATAACAAATCACCCGCAATTTTGAACTTTTAAACCGAGCCATCAGTCCTTTATCCTCACTCATTGAATAGTCTAATGTAGTGTATAATGAGTCACGCCAAGTCTAACTATTGAACTGTCAAACCGGCTACCTATCGTGCAAAGTAAACAAACATAACGATGCTATGAAAGGTCCACGAAGAAATTAAATTAGCATTAAATTTTCATGGGATACGTTTGATAATGATCAGTAATGAGAATTTATACTATTTTTTTAAAGATAATTTGACAAAATCACTGTTCTAATAATTTACTACAGCTGCTATTTTTTACTCGCTAGAAGTCATTTGAAGTTGATGCAGAAGTCCTCTGTTGCCAAGGGAATCTTTTCAAAACCAAAAAAGGAGAAACAGAAAATAGCATTCCCGCTAGGAGACAGACAGAGAAAGTCGATTAAACGTAAACAAACTCATCCATTTGGATTGAAGTGGCAAAACGCATCGCGTTCGATCAAATTGATTGACTACAAGGAAAACAAAACATAGGTATTGAACATTTGGCATTGCTTAAAATCTGTGATTCTCGGTAGGAAAAGTGAAAAATCGGTAGTTTTGAACCTTTCGCCTGTGAATCGGCACCCGAGCAAAGCTGAAGATCAAATTGAAATCAAAATTTGCTGTTATGATGTAACTTATTTTGAATACTCTAGTTGATCTCATTTTGGTTGACTTAACGGTTAACACAGTAAAAATGAGAGTAAAATTTTACACTGTTGAAGCAAACGGAAAACTAATCCTGCTTTCAATGAAATCAATTTGATTACTCATTTTGCATTCATAATGTTTAACTGAATACGGGCCTGGCATAAATGGTTAGCATCCATGCTTCTCACGCTGAAAGACTTAAAAGTTGAATAAGTCAAATCTCTCCCCGGGCAAGTCAGGAATGACCTAAAATGTGTTAAACGAAACAAATAAACAAGAATCATTAGTTCAACAACAGATGAACTTAAATTAAATTTTAAACAAGACGTTAAGAGCAGAACTAAGTTGCTTTCATTTAAAAAGTTTTGATTGCATAATGAAATCACAATATGATATCAGATTTATGTCGCGACAATTGAAATCAAAATGAGTTTTCATTATGATAGAAACTGCAAACTTTAATATCGATTTGCTTTCATTTTGTTAACCGATTTGCTCGGGTAGGCATCCCGAAAATCGGTAGGACTACCGATAAATCGGTAGGTATGGCCACCCTGCCTCACCCCAGACTGCGTATTAAATTTAACGAACAGAACGTCAACATCAGGATCGCTCCCTACAATGACGTCACTATTTGCGTTTCCGATATTTACGAATACAGCAACATTTGAAGGTTTGTGCTACCTCCCTCCTGTATTCATTGCTTCTTACCGGCACGACAATATTTAATTGAATATTATAAAAAAAATAATTTCTCATGGTACCAACGTAAACAAGAGTATTAAAATAAAAATCACAGATCGATCTACCAAAGATCGATTCTTTCGAACCGATTTAATCAGTGGATCGATTCTAGAGCCGTCAAGATCGATCTTTCTTTGAGGATCGCCCAATCCTAGCCCTAGTCCTGACTGCTTCAAACTAGGGGAACAGTATTTTTTAGTAATCAAAGGAACACATTTTAGTCCTTGTTGCTTTTTGTGGTGACAAGACTTGGAACGACTTGTGGTGACAAGACCACCTCAGTTTTGAATTTTTATATTGATTAAGGGAAATGACGGCTTCGGCATGACAGACTATTTTTGGCAACACAAATTGAAACACTATTTTCACTGGATTTTCTTACGAAAACACTTCGCTGAATGCATGCAATTTATGCTTTCAGCTTCACTTTGACTATATTTTTACCACTGAAAAAAAGCAAACTAGCAAGGTTTTCTTGAAATGCAACACACGCACTACAAATTGCAGCTGATTTCGAGTTGCCGATAATAGAACAG